ATGCGGTTTTATGAGTTAAAGAAATTGAGCTGAAAAGCATATTAAAAATCATGTTGAGGCTATGTGCAAGTATTATTGGGACTCACAGAGGTCATATTGCTGTGAATTATTTATTTTAAATTGAAAATTCATACTCAGTCATATTCATTTCATTGCATTTCATATCTCAATCTCTATTGTTATTTATTGATACATCATATGTTCATTTTTAGGCTATTTTATATTTTCATGACATTTTGAGCCCATGAGAGAGAGACCGAAGAGATTGATGACTGAGTGAGGCCGATGGCCTGATTTGTGAGAATATTTATGGGATCGGGCTACACGCCGCAGCATGTTGCATATTTATGAGATCGGGCTGCACGCCGCAGCATGTTGCATATTTATGTTATCGGACTGGACGCCGCAGCATGTTTGATATAGACCGAGGGCCTGAGTGATTTATGCCATGATTTGGCTTAATATAGCGCTTGGGCTTAAGGAGCCCCTCCGGAATCTGTACACACCCCCAGTGAGTGCAGGTACCTACTGAGTGCGAGTGTCGAGTGATGGGTGACTGGGAGGCATGAGTGATTGTGAGGTAAGCCCGAGGGGTTGTTTATGATTTTATCACTGAGTTGCATCGTATTGGCATGCACACATGACATACAAGCATAGATATGTATTTTTCTCATGCTGTACAACATCATATCATTCATAATTTCTCACACATTTTTTACTGATGGGCATAGTGATGCATTTGTTTTTACACGGGTTATCCGAAGGAAAATGAAACATCTTATTTATTATTGAAAAAAAAATTTGGGAGAAATTATTGTTTTCAAACTATTCATATTTTTGGCAACTTCAGCAAACGACTTGGGTTTTCACTGATGTATTTGAAAAGAAAAACTATTATTTTTGAAATCATGATTTGGCTGAGCATTTTATCTGTGAGTTACTTCTGGTATTATTTGCTTTATGTTGTTGCGGACTATTGGTTGTGGACCTAACCTTGGTAGAAGCTTGTCACTACTTTCAACTTACGACTAGGTTTGTTATTTACTCAGTACATGGGGTCGGTTGTACTGATACTACACTTAAGCACATTTCGTGCAGATGATGGCTGTTGTTGTTGCTGTGCTCGATGGTTGCAGGATTTGAATATGTACCTGTGTTCCTGTTGTAGCTGCCTCTTGTTCAGGGTAGCCTTAGATTTATAAAAGCTCTGTTTAAGTATTATTCAAACAAACTATATATTTATTTCATTTCCGCTTTGTATAATCTATTCTTAGAAACTCATGATTTGTACTACCAGTTCTTGGGGATTGTACAAGATTAAGACCTTTATTCACTTAAATTACTTTAATAATTATTATTGAAATTGGTTAGTTGGTAATTGGCTTACCTAACGGTTTGGGTTGGGTGCTATCACGACTAGTTGGATTTTGGGTCGTGATAATTTCCTAAATTCTAATCTACTCTAAAAGAAATAAAAGGAAAAACTACTACCCGGTTCAAACTACATCCCATAAAAAAAAACCGATGCACAAAGAAATATCACGGGGGGTTATTACTACCGAAAAAAATAAAAAGACATACTTTTGTATTATATTTTTTAGACTTTAATCCCTCAAAAAAATTGTCTAGGATATCCATCGTCGAGAAAAGTCCACTCTTTTTCTTTTTTTTTTCTAAAAAAAAAATTATCCAATTAAACTACCACAACTAAAATAGCGTAGAGAGTCACCCAGACAATCTCCTCACCCCACACTTAAAATTGTGCATTATCCCCAATGCACATCATATTAATAAGAGGTTAAAAGAAACTCCTTGGTAAGCCAAATGTCAAAGCACTAACAGCTCATGGGGTACTCAGACTTCTCCCAGGCATGGTCCTTCGTGCGGGTACCTGACACTTAGTTCCAACCATCTGGTTTGTTGTTGCATCCTTTCAATAGCTTTACTTTCCATGCTCCTAGAAAATTAAAAAATGACACTACAAACGTAATACAATTAAAAAAAAATAAAAAGTAAAAGAAAGCAGTAAAGTTGGGTTGCCTCCCAACAAGCGCTTGATTTAACGCCGCGGCACGACGTGAATCACTTTCTGCCTTTACTTTGAACTTATGAATTAGATCCCAGGTTTTGATTCTGCTCTATGATCATGCTCCTGGGGTGGTGGAACGAATCTGACTGGCCCAATAAAATAATATAGTATTTTGCACTTCTTGGCCTTTAGACGAGGTGTGTAATTCCGACTTTCTGGCAAGAAGAATTCTAGAATGTAGGCACCTTGTTTCTCATTCCTTGACTCCTCGAGTGGCTCGGATGACTCTATTTCTATATCATCATCCAAACACAATGTGGAAAAAAACTTGGAGTATGGACCAATGCGCTCAACTGCATGAACATTGGGAATGTCTACACCCTCAACACTAATGACACTAGAGTCAATTAAATATGTATCATCAATGTCCTTGGTTGACTCTAATATCTCTTTTACAACATCGGCATCCTCAAATTCTAGTTTGATTGATTGTTGGTGTTCTACTATGGACCCCTCTATTGGTACCTCAATTTCTGCATCTAATGCATGCTCATTTTGGCTACTATCCACAATATCACCTTGTTGAGCATTAAATGCTTCAGCTAATTGACTCACTTGTGTCTCCAGGTTATACATAGTTGCCTCTTGCCTTTGGATAGTATCTCATAGCCTTTGTATTTGCAGATGTTTCTCATTACTTTGTTCCATGAAACACTTTAACATATCTTTGATCTCATTCAGGTCAGTTTCCCTAGGTTCTTTGTTCCTATTAACTTCATCAAAAGTAGAATTACCAACATCAAAACTCTCATAATTCCAAGATGCCATGCTTCTAAAATCAACAAGTAAAACAAAAATATAAAAAATCAAATACAAGAAAATAAAAATGAAAGTTCAAACTTGCAACCTAGCAATATGTACACCTACAACTACATTGTTAGTTCCCCGGCAACGATGCCAAATTTGATCACGCCCAACTATGCCTTATAAAAAGGACTAAGCGGTCCTTGCAAATATAATCTGGTTTATAAGTACGGAGTCGAATCCCACAGAGAACTAAGGCGTAGCTACAACTGTTTAATATTGCTAAGAAACACAAGTCCAAATAATTTCCTAATTATAGAGATTATAATATTTATTTCTAACTAATTAACTAACAACTATTATAAAGAAGTAAAATTATCAACTAACAAGGATGAAATTTTAGACAAGACTAAGAAGGTCTAGAGTTATGATTTCCCCAATTGTCGGAATCCTTATATAATTTCGCCTAAGTTTTTCCTACCGATCATGAGCGCTCTGAGTGTCGTAACTCTCTCTCTAGAGTAATTACCACAATTTACTAGACATATTATACCGAATTAGCTAGCTGGCATTAAGTACGGCTCACTCGGATCGCACCAAGGTTTTGTTATCCTTAATCCCACCTTTAAACCCTTCGTATTGATCCCTCATATACGTTAGGAGTGACGTTGTTTAACAACTACCTAAATATGCACTCTCTCCCGAGTAATACACACTAAATAGGCACAATCGATTGAGAGCTCTTCAACCAACCACAATATAAACGTAGTTGAACAAATAAAAAAATTCAACGGCTAAATTATATAAAATCATAACAAGAATTTATCCTACAAAAGGTTCTATCAAAACTCTAGATAACAAATTAGCTATTCATAATAGTATGCATAACTACAATACTAAAATTCATAATTAATAATGAAAATAGGAAGAAGAAAGTGAAAAACTCGTAGAAGAATGCTCCGCCTTGCTTCTAGTGTGTTCTTGCCTCCTTAGGTCGAATCTTCGATCTAATATTCGTCTCCCCTCAAATTGGTGTTTGATGACTATTTATATGTGTAAAGAAAAAACCTAAAAAAAATAACCAAATCCAAAACTAAATATGAGATAAAATAGGCCTTAAAAACTCGGAACACGCGAACAAAATTAGCGACCCAAGCTCTAACGCGGCCTTTACCCTTCGCGTGCTTCACTTTGAATTTTGATTCTTTCTGCCAAACTTTCCAATTCACGTTTTCTCTTTTTTTTCAATTTGTTCTTTTGTCTTCTTTTGCTTCTTTTAATTTTTATTTGTTTTCTTTTTGTCTCCAATTGCATGGACAAAATCATGAGTCATTCTTATATTGCATAAAATATATATAAAATTTTTACTTTGCTCTCAATTTCTTCTTCAACGTACCTACACATAAAATAAACTCAATTAAGTACAAATATAGTATAATTTAACATTAAAACACTTAAAATATAAAGTAAATAATGTACTAAAAATATATAATTATAATCACATATCACCATACAAGCTATGAGTAGATGTACTATAACTAGTTCATATCAAATTCAAGCTGAAATTATAAAATTGGATGTGGTTGGGCTAAAATTGCTTTGATTAACTTAAGGTGGATTCTTGTTCCCTAGTCCATTTTATGAATTTTAAAGCACGCAGTAGTTCCGGTGAACATCAGAATTTTGTCATAAATCCTGACAAATCACTAGAATTTTTCCAGCATTGTGGCTGAAAATTCTGGTGATAGTCTTTATATTTGGTGTTTCAAAATTCTGACGATGAAAATTTTAGTGATTGTCAGATTTATGGTGCTTTAAAATTCTTGCGGATGCTTCAAAATACTGGCGAGCTTGTTTTAAAATTCTGACACGGATCTATTTTCTCAAAAAAAAATCTTAATAAAATTAAAATATAAATAGTGATTTAAAAAAGGTCTATCTAGAGTAGTTTTTACTTTTTCCAATGTTGACATGTCGACAAAATATGAGGACCCGGCAGTTTGCGACTGAAAATAGATATGGGCTGGTAATGTTTGGGCTTGCGTGAAATAATGGGCTATTGGCCCAAGTAACACGTGAGCCCCAATCCCGAGATCAACGCGGTCCACTACTCCACTATAAAGAACATACAGGGAATACAGAATAGTTCAAAATTTCGAAACAGCTACTCTAGGAAAGAAGAGATGGCGGGAAACGATTCTCAGAAGCAATTCCTCACTCTAATCCGCGACTTCGCATCTGAAAAATCTCAAGGAGGTTCGTTTTGCTTCTTCATTTCCTCCTTCAAAACTCGTATGAAATTCTTCACTGGATGATTCAACGTATTTGATTACTGGAAACATTAAAAATGATTTTTTGAGCTATAATACTTCAAAATTTTCAGAGCGAAGAGTAATAAATCTTAAGAAACGAAGTCAAGAGCTTCAATCGGAGCTTGAAGTTGCAAACACTGAGGTTGAAGAGGCAAAACATCAGAAGGAGACTGCTGACCAAGAGCTCAAAGGCTACGAAGTTGAATTGGCCAGGAATGAATCTGCTATTCAAACCCTAGAGGTTTTCAATCTCATTCGTATTTGTATATCCTTTTTTTTGTTAACGCTTTAAGCTTATCGAAGTATATTTAATTAGTTAAAATTTGAACTGCTGATAAATTCTTTTTACGATTTTCTAAGAGATCCGTTTCGATTACGTTATAGGAAAGGATCGTTTTGATTCAAGATGAATTATCAGCCTACGGATCTGACGTAGAGGCTCTTAAGGTAAAAGTTGACTTGAGGTTATGTTCTCCTTTAAGGCGCACTTAATGCTCCCTTGGCTTGTATTGATTGTTGATGTTTGTACTTGTTTATATTAGATTTGTATTTGTACTTATTTATATTTGTAAATTTTAGACAAGGTGTGTTGCTCTGATGGTAAGCACCGTCCACTTCCAACCAAGAGGTTGTGAGTTCGAGTCACCCCAAGAGCAAGGTGGGGAGTTCTTGGAGGGAAGGATGCCGAGGGTCTATTGAAAACAGTATCTCTACTCTAGGGTAGGGGTAAGGTCTGCGTACACACTATCCTCCCCAGACCCCACTAGGGACCCACTAGGGAAGGATGCCTATCCTCCCCAGACCCCACTAGGGACCCACTAGGGAAGGATGCCGAGGGTCTATTGAAAACAGTCTCTCTACCCTAGGGTAGGGGTAAGGTCTGCGTACACACTACCCTTCCCAGACTCCACTAGTGGGATTATACTGGGGTGTTGTTGTATATTTGTAAATTTGAACATTATTTTGTTGTATTGGCTTGCTAATAATGACGTTGTTTCTTCTTATGAACTCGTTGGTCAATTGATGATATCTGAACTGTGAAAAGAACAAAGAATCAGAAACTCGGTAACTACATGCTTCCTTCAGTTTACGTTTCAACTCTTTTTGTTCTATTACAATCACTTTGACTAAGTAGAAAATGCATCTTTAACTCAATTTAGCGTTGTGAAAAGAATCTCATCGAAATTCTCTTTCTCGTTGTATCTATCGTTGCTTATGCAGAGATGACTTCATTGAGAAAATGTTGGATCTCAATGCACAGATAAGGTACAGTTTGTGTGTTCTCTTCTATTGTGTGTCCTTAATAAGCAGTAATCTTTAACTATTGAAATGACTGTATGAAGTCAGGTTAGTTTGGTAGCTAATTTGATTTTTTTTCACAAAAAATGTCAATAAGGTTTAAAGCTCCAATACTGTAGCTTTTTTCAAACATACAATAGCTAAGTACAGACGGAGAGATAAAATAGTCTCCTGTCAATCCATGCTAATGTTAGAAGAGCTAACTTAGTCATTGTTCTTCTTATATCTAATTTGCATTTACACATACCTGGCCCAAGTAATACTTACTTGGCATTGCTTGGCTGTCGCTCTTATGATAGGAGATCTAATTTGCATTTATACATACCATGGCCTAAGTAATACCGCATGGCATTGCTCTAACGGCTGATTCAGTTTGTAATACTTGAAGATTGGAGATCATCTATCTATATTGTTGTTTAGTCATGCTTATAAACTTTCATGTCATGATTACTAGCAACAAGTAATTATGCTTGGGGAGTGATCATAGCTGTTAAATGAGAAAGAGAAGCACTTGACTTTCTGCTTTAAAATCTACTTTTACAATGATTACGTGGTTTTTGTTTTGCTTTTCAAAATAATTTGGTGATATTGTATGGTAACAGAAACAAAGACTTTTTGATTAAGCTGCCAGTCATCTAGCCCATATAGTATCTCAATAGTTCAGTTCTGATATCAGAACTATGTCAATTGTATAAATTGGGTGTGATCAAGCAGTCTTATCGCTGATTTAGTACATATTCCCTCATGTCACACTCATGCACATTAGTTCTACTGGCATAGTCTAGACATGGAGAGTTCAATGCACAGTAAATATTCTCCACTGTTGTGGTAGTATTTATTATTTAAAACCATGTTTCTTTAATTTGGCAGGAAAAACTGTTATCTAGTGCCAGTCTTGCGAGGGCACTTTATATCTCAAATGTAGTAATCAAAGTGACTCGTTAACACGACCACAGAAGATATTGTGGCCAGAGATAAATCTATCTGTTTCTGTTCTAACTTGAGGCTTATTCATTTGGATTTTGTGACTACACTATATTGAGATCTAGCTGACCTGCTGTTAAATGGCTTAACTTTTTCTACTGAACTGGATGCAGGAAATTCCATGAGACAAGAGCCTCCATATTCCAAAATGATAATTGCAGCGACTCAGCATCAAATCCTGGTGTGTTATCGCACATAGATAAGCGCTCTTCTTTTTGTGATGTGTTGGGGTGTTTTTGTAAAGACTTCCAAAGTTCTATTGTTGCTTCAATACAACAGCTTCTTCAAGTTGATAAAGAATTGTTTTACACCTCCACAAGCAGGTCCAGCAAAAGCCAAAGGAGAAGATGCTGAAGCTGTCAAAAGAGACCTCCAGAATAAGTTGGCTCAGATAGTTTCCCAGATCACTAAGGAAGAAGAGGAATACCAAGTTGAACAGAATATTCATAGTCAGGCAAGTAATTATGTTTTTGTTAGGCTTGTCTGTTCTCATTTCCTTTCTTCTATTGCTATATGTCTGGTTATTAGTATTTGGAGAACTAAGTACATCGATCTGTGTGGTGTTTTTCAGCTTGAAGAGGAGTTGAATATTTTGGAAAGGAAAGCATCACTGATAGAGGGAATCACAAAAGAAAATATGGAAATGCAGGAGTTAGCCAGATATCCTTAAATCGTTATTGTTTGGAGTCCTGCTACTTATAGCTAATTGTTTACTAGGTTCAACTCATTGGTGGAAAGAGAAATGAGTCTGACAGTGGATCTCGAAATTTTATGAGACTTTCCACTTTTTCTGCAAAAATTATCTTATTCTATTACTGAAAAACTCTCACACCTCAAAATGATACTTATGGAATTAGCACTCATGCTTTACATTCGTCAGCAATTATTGTATCCTTGACTGGAAGCAAGCAGACTTCTGAATTGGAAAACAGATGTGCTTCCCTTGGTGATGAGCTACAAAGGAGGTCGGTATGTCCCAGTTGCCATAGGGACAACACAGAGGCATTGGGTGAAATTGTTCAAGCAGGCAATGAAAATTAGCTTCTTGTAAGTAGTCCCGGACGTTACGCTGATGATAGTCAAAAGCAGGACATTGAGGTGCTTACATATCTGCTCTTATGTCTTCCACTGGATTTACTTTTGGCTAAGCTTTGCTCTACTATAGATAGGGCTAGTCAAAAACTGGCTAGTTTGCACACATGTTGATCCTTATATATCCCTCACAATCAGTGATAAGACTGGAGATCTAGCATCTTTATTACCCTTGCCCTGTACCTGGCTACCTGCCAACATGTGCTCAACTTTAGAACTTTGTAATATCAGCTTTGTAAATTGACATTCGAAAAGTCATCCATAATCAGCTTGAGAGCCAAGAGACTACAGTGAACAGTGAGTCAGACACTTGCATCTTTACTAGGAATTGGGGAGGGGACTGAAGGAGGAAATGAGACCAGACTTGAACGGGCACACTTTTGATCTTCAACAATCAACATGTACAGAGAATAAAACAGTGACGGGCCGATGTTCAGAGAACTTGCTTTCACTGCGGAAATAGGGAAAGCCTCTAAAAGGGTTTCTTCTTCTTAAGGCTAGAATCTGAAATCTTTTATTAAAGATAGATGAAATCCATCCGACCACACCTCTTGGTTGGTAAGGAATCCATTGTTGATCCCATTCTCGGAGGCTTCCCGAAATATATCCTACTAGGAGTACTTCATTAATGCAACTATTTCTTTTTGTTAAATGGTACTCACTCTATTCTATTCTAGAGGACATCATTTTCATTTTAATTACTCCATTCGTTCATTTTTACTTATTCAATATACTAAAAATATATTTTCACTTTTACTTGTTTATTATACTAAATCAAGAAAAAGACAATCTTTTTTTTTCTGTTATACCCTTATCATTAAGTACTCATTCCCCAAATCATTTCCCAAGACTTTTGGAAATGCTACCATTATTATGGGTAAAATTATAAAATACATATTTTATTTATTGTTTCTTAAGGAGCGTAAAAAGTCCAAAGTGAACAACTAAAAGTGAACGGAGGGAGTAGTTGATAATTTTCTTAAATTAAAAAAACTTTCAACTTTACTCAAAATGACAACTTTTTATAGTCACACAAATATTATGGAATGTTTAAAAAATATAAATTGTAAAAGTCTTACGGTCACAAAAATGGTATCAAAATATTATTATTTTCTAAATTCAGTGCTCAATCAAACTAAATAGATGGAGCGGTAATCAGAGGCGGAGCCAGAATTTTAATTTTATGAGTTTTGGATTCTAGAACAATGATTTCTATTAGGTTCTAAATTTAATATGTATACATATTTAATAAAATTTTCAATAAAAATATATTGTTTGAACAAAAGTTATTGGGTTTGGACGAACTCTGCCCATGGTAGTAATTTTAAAGTAAATAACCATGTGAAATATGTTGACTTCGCCTTGTTTCGCGAAGCGCACATCAATAAGATTATAAGAATGCTTTTCACGGCGATGTCCTTTTACTTTTTTTTTTTCTTTTCCAAATTATATTGTCCTTTTACTCGTGTATGATTGTACTGCCTCTACCCTAGTATTTTTCCTGGTTAATGCCACCTGCAGGCAGTAGCTTTCAACCTTTAATATGCAAAAACATTTTGGCCTATAGAGAAATTACACTCTCCTTCTGACAAAACCAATGAAAACACAATGAAATTGATAAATAGTCACTTTTGAGTCGGCTATTAGAGTTTAATTATGTTTTAATTATAATGACAAAATAGCTATCATCGTCACTATAGTCTTTATCATTCATATATTCATAATATTTATTATCATTGCCTTTCGCAAAAAGCTTTTTTATTTTTATTTTATGATCAAACGAGAGCATTTTCCGTAATTCTGTAATTTATAAATATTAGAATATTAAGCAATAGTTACTTAACGAGTCTTCCCACATTTCACGATTAATATTTTATTCAAATATTAGCAAATATAATTAGTCATATTAAATAATTTAATTACCAAACTAATATTAATGTTATCATAAAATATTTACTAATTAAGAATTTATTTCATAAATAACACTACTTTTGGTTTATTTAAAAATAGCAGATTTAATAACAATTGTATTACAAGAAGATTATGTGTAGTAGTTATTAGGTTTCGAAACTAATAAGTACTGACCCTCAAATTAAGGGGATCACTTTTAATTCTTATCAATTTATTTCCATTCTCTTTCATGATTATTCTATCACTTTAACATTTAGATAATTAAGGGGATCACTTTTAATTCTTATCAATTTATTTCCATTCTCTTTCATGATTATTCTATCACTTTAACATTTAGATTTATTAACACAAATAAATTTGCATTTTTTAAAAATAAACTGCACAAATAAACACAAATGATATACATTATTACATTATTATATTATTATATATAATTAAATATTACTATTCCGTAAATATATAATTGAATTATTCCATTATTGTACCAGCATTCCTAATTAAATATTGCAATAAACCGGAATTATTGTTATATATATTTTCGATTATACATGGTTTATACTTGATATAATATATGATGTAATATGGTTTATGTCGTGTATAATTATGTACCGTAATTTATACATGATTTATTATAATCCATACATGATTTATACATTGTATATTATTATACAGTCTATATTTCAAATTTATTAGTTTCATTTTTTGTATTATAAGCAATAAGTATAATATATGGTATATAATAGGTACAATTCCAAATGGTATATGTATTAATATCCAAAACAAATTTCTGAGCGGAAAAATTGGAAGCGAATGTTTAGGATTTTAATTTGCGAAAATCTCGTCCTGAAGTTCTTTGTTCTGTTTGGAGTCTCTCATGATTTGTTTATCCTTAATTGCCAAGAAATATTAGAAGCCTAAAGAAAAAGAAAAATGAAAGGAGTAAAAGGCCCAAAGCAAAGCCTAAAGTCTTGTAATGTCGGCCTAAAATAGTCGGGAAATTTACCTTGCTATACTATTATAAAAACTTATTTACCATCTTTATTTAGGTTCCTCATTAATTACTTTGTATATCTATATTTATAAGTTATATACAAAATCATTAAAAAAAAGAAAATTCAAGATACCTTAAATTTAACCTATCAGTTACATGACACTCACCCCCCATTTCCAATAACCTCCCTACATTTAAGATTTTGTTCCTTTTCCAAAGGATTTCAAAAATATTTTCTCTCTCTTAATAATCATCCAAAATCTCTCTTAATTTTTTACCCAATGTTATTCCCTCAAAATTGCTATTCTTTTCCTTTTCCAAAGCTTTTCAACCCCAATTTTCCTCTTTCTTACTAATTATCCAAAATCTCTCTTTCTTATTGATACAGTGCAGACGAAATTCAGAATATTGCTCTAGAATCAAGTTGTGTATAAGTTTTGAATCTTGTTTTCTTTCTTTATTTTTTCTAATTTTCAAGCTTTGCTCTGGATTAACAATGACTATGTATCAATTTCNATATATATATATATATATATATATTGCTTCGACCTTTTTCAAAATTAACAATGGGTAAGAAACCTTTGCATGAATCTTCGAGAAACGTAGTGGAAAATCTGTTGGTGATACACCAATAGGTAACACAACAGTTTGAAGATCTCTTAAAAAATATAGAGAAAAAGTTGTGGCCGACACACCTAGTTTCGAGTTTCGACTGAGGTGTATTTACACAAGAAGAACATATCAAAAAGTCGAATTCTAGGCATGCAATACTGTAGTGATTGATAAGTAAAAATCTGAATTATATGACAATTGTATCATATTTGTTTTAGAATTATATCACAATTGTATCAAAATTGTACGTGACTTGTAGATGATACATCAATACCCAATAAGATACTTGATATAATACTAATACAATTATAATACGATGTTATATTATATTTTTAGTTTAGAGTTGTGATTGAAACTTGAGGAAGATGAAGATTATAATTATATCATAATTTTTTAGAAATGCATCGCGATTGTATTATAATTGAATTTGTATCATAATTGTTACAAGAATCGTATTACAAATGTATGATAATTGTATATTCATTGTATATTATTACGAGCAGTTGTGAGTTTGAGACCAATTTCACAGTTTGTATCACAAATATATGATAATTGTATATTAATTTATTAGTTTTGTATCAAGCATTGTTTTGAGTATTAATGTACCAGATACAAGTTAGATACAATTGTAATACAAATATGATACAATTATTTTTTAGACATTGATGTATTAGATACAATTCAAATACAATTATGATACAGTTATCATACAATTCCTGCAACTTCTTCTTTTTCGAGTTCCAATATGAGATTTCACCTATAACCAATTCTATACTTAACTAATCTCCCTCAAAATTGAGATATCAATTCCAACGGATATTTTCATTCATTTGCAAGAATACTCAATCCAAACAAATAAAAAAAATCTGAAAATATGAATATCAAATTCCATGGGAAGAGAGAAGATGAAGATTCTGGGCATAGATTAAGGGATTTTGATATATAAAAGGAAGGAGAGAAAAGAGGATAGAGGAAAAAAAAATGATGTAATTGAATCCCTTAATTGAATGCACTAATAATAGGGTATGAGCCTTTTAGGGGGAATATAAACAATTCGTAAGAAAAATCTAGATACTTATTAAAAACTATAAAACATATAGAAAATAGGTAAATAGTTTTTTTATTATAGTATAGCTAATGACCACAAGACCATTTCAAAATTATAGGCCCAACGTTTTAAAGCACTAAAGTTGCACGTACATCAGTCGATCTGGATGACCCAATATTGATGTAAAAATAGCATGGACTAGCCAGTTTTTGGACTGGTAAATCAAAAATAGCTAGCGTTTGCAAAACCATTGAAAAATAGTTACTATTTTGCTGCAACACGGAACGGTCCAGCATAATATACTGGACATTGGTGCACCCGAGTATGAACTTCCAGCATATTATGCCAGACCGGTATATTATACTGGAACTCCAGTATATTATGCTGGAATATTTTCTGAATTTTGAACAATATTTTCGTTCAGATTTATCTTTACATGAAAAGATGCTAAAATTCGATTACTTTTGAAACTATGACTATTTTTCAATTACCGATTGTAAATCTGGCTATTTTTGAATTTCTCCCAATATTGACCCATTAAGCCCAAAATACAGCATTTTATGCAAAGGCCATCCGCCATCTGCCTTCATTTTGGCGTACCATCTTCATGCTCTAAAGAATCTCACAATTTCGGGCAACTCTAAAGAATCCTCTCTTCTTTTAGCCTCTACTTGTTTTGCGCAACAACAACAGAGGGGTTACTTTATTCTTTCCGGAGTTCGACAGCCGTTCAAGGCAGGGGCGGAACCACATGGGATCAAGAGGGTTCATATGAACTCGCTTTGTCGAAAAATAATATTGTGTATGTAGGTATATTTTTTCTTTCAGAGATGTTATAAATATTATATTGAACCCACTTCAAAAGAGTTAAACGCCTAGCCTTCTGGCAAAGAGGGTTCAAGTTTTCCACTTGGTCCTAAGTTCGAAACTAGTTAGTCTCATATGCCCTCTTTTGTTTCTTAAATATTTATATACAACATCTGTTTTCCCATAAAACGACGCCGTTTATATTTCTTAAAATATTTCCCAATTGCCAAACAAAAGGCCCCAATTTCCCAAATCAAAAGAACGATCAGTTCTAAAATTCTAATCCCAAAGACCCAAACCCTTCGATGCCTCTCTCT